ATCCGAGTTGCCGGCGGGGAAGTGGTTCAAATAGCTTCGGCTATCACTTCCTTTTGTCCGGCCATGATGGTCAAGCGGATTAAGGCGCCCTGTAGTTACCAGTTGCGTTGCTCCTGGGAGTATGGGTTCGAGTCACTTCTGGGGTGTGAGTTTTCAGTCGCATATAGTCCTGGGGACCATTCAGGCTTGTTTGCATTTGTGTTCCTCACGTGTGCCCCAAAGAATGAGGTAATTTGGTGAAATGCTATGCCCAAGATTCATCCGAGTTGCCGGCGGGGAAGTGGTTCAAATAGCTTCGGCTATCACTTCCTTTTGTCTGGCCGTGATGGTCAAGCGGATTAAGGCGCCCTGTAGTTACCAGTTGCGTTGCTTCTGGGAGTATGGGTTCGAGTCACTTCTGGGGTGTGAGTTTTCAGTCATATATATATATATATATATATGTCGTACCTAGTAGCCAGAACGCACTTCTCAGCCTACTATGCAAGGTCCGATTTGCCTAATAAGCCAAGTTTTCATGAATTAATATATTTTCTCTAATTTTTTTCTTATGAAATGATAAAGCTACCCATTTCATTATGTATGAGGTCAATTTGTTTTTGTTGGAGTTAAAATTAACGTAGATATATGACCGAACCTAACCAACCCTACCTAACCTAACCTAACCTATCTTTATAGGTTAGGTTAGGTTAGGTAGCCGAAACAGTTAGGTTAGGTTAGGTAGTCGAAAAAACATTATTTCATAAAAACTTGGCTTATTAGGCAAATTGGGCCTTGCATAGTAGGCTGAGAAGTGCGTTCTAGCTACTAGGTACGACATATATATATATATATATATATATATATATATATATATATATATATATATATATATATATATATATATATATATATATATATATATATATATATATATATATATATATTGGTGTATACTGGCAGCAGGTTTTCTTTCAAACATGTTTCATTGAATATGACCGCATATTCTGTATTTATTATTTTCTGGTTTAGGGCTTCTATCCCTCTAACTATTTTCTTAGCATCAGGGCTTAATTGAAATAGGAGTTCTCCAAAACTCATTTTCGTACTTTTAAGGTGAAGAAAAGAAGTGATTTACTATAGAGTGTATTACACTTATTTGTATAATTTGCACGACGTTTTGAACTCCATGGTTCATTCTCAAGTGAACAGATCTTACAATACTAGTTGATTTTATACCCGCATTAGGTCAGGTGATAATACAATGAAGGTGAAAACATGGGGGGATACATAAGGGATAAACATAGGGGCTGCAGAAGGCTTATTGGCCCATACGAGGCATCTCCTATCTAAACACAAAGATTAATCCAGTGTAATTGGCCTGTTATGTTGGACATTGTCTTCTGTGTTGGCATCGATATGTTCTTGTCTTGTCCTTACTAAGGACAAGACAAGAACATATCGATGCCAACACAGAAGACAATGTCCAACATAACAGGCCAATTACACTGGATTAATCTTTGTGTTTAGATAGGAGATGCCTCGTATGGGCCAATAAGCCTTCTGCAGCCCCTATGTTTATCCCTTATGTATCCCCCCATGTTTTCACCTTCATTGTATTATCACCTGACCTAATGCGGGTATAAAATCAACTAGTATTGTAAGATCTGTTCACTTGAGAATGAACCATGGAGTTCGAAACGTCGTGCAAATTATACAAATAAGTGTAATACACTCTATAGTAAATCACTTCTTTTCTTCACCTTAAAAGTACGAAAATGAGTTTTGGAGAACTCCTATTTCAATTAAGCCCTGATGCTAAGAAAATAGTTAGAGGGATAGAAGCCCTAAACCAGAAAATAATAAATACAGAATATGCGGTCATATTCAATGAAACATATATATATATATATATACAACTTTAGAACACTTTCCCACCAGGAGACTCGAACCCTAGCCAGCACAGAAGCCTTCCAGCAACTGGCATAACAGGTACGCCTTAACCCTCTGCACCACCGCTCAGACCCTTAAAAGAGATGGTAATTTCGGAGTATTTAAATCCCCCAAAGATCAACACCTCCCAAGAGCACCAGAGCAAGTGAGGGGTCATTTATATATATATAAATGACCCCTGACCATATATATATATATATATATATATATATATATATATATATATATATATATATATATATGCAATTGACGATCACAAAACACTGATCATTTTATGCGGAAAATCCACAGAGAAATATGAAATGAGGTGACAAACAAAGCCGAAACGTTCACCTCATTTCATATTTCTCTGTGGATTTTCCGCATATATATATATATATATATATATATATATATATATATATATTGTGACGATAATCTCCTTCAAGAGATTGAGCCTGCTCTTCCCTCCTAAGTTCGTCGCTATACATCCCTATACAACTAATATGGAAGAAATATCCAACAAGTACAACTCCAAGGTTTGCCAGAGAGCAAACGTATTCAGCACCAGGAACACCTCCTCCGCCACTCGAACCACCAAACTACCTGTCCGTCGCCTGCTCATCGCTGATTGGCTGGTGGTCAGTCGCATCTGCTCCTCCACCGCCACACTACCTGATGTCTGGGGCCACCACGACCTGCAGACCTCAGAATATCCAGTGCTTTCAACAAGTTAACACGTCTCGTTGGTAGACTAAGCTCTGGCTTACGTGTACTAAGAGAGGTGGCAGCTTAAAGCCAATATTCCTGCACCCATATTTTGCATTGTATATTGTTCACTTGTTATTACTCACTTGTCTTAACGTAACTTTTCATTTTGCCATTTGATTATTCTTATTATTTTGATTGATTGATTTTATGTTCCAATTTGTATGTCCATTTTATTCATGTTTTGCTTTTCTAACGTAATTAAAATCTCATTGTTAAATTTACTTGTGTTTTGTGTGTCTTCCCATTACCTTACCACAGACGAAGTTCCAAATTTTCTCTTTTTTGTTTCTATATGTGACGAGGCCATACCCCTAGCTTTTGAAACAGCCGAACACCAACGCGTTACCGTCACAATATATATATATATATATATATATATATATATATATGCAACAATAAGTGTTGTGCAGTATTCTAATCCTTGGAAATTAGAGTACTTGCCGTGTGTGTCATTGATAGTGATTGTTGCTAGTGTTGAGCAATCACCGTATCTGATTGCAGTTCAGTAAAGTCATTATAGGGCAGTGGTCTAGGGGGTTCATGTCCCGTATGTTATATTTTACTAGGTTCAGCAGTATTGTCATTGCAACCGGATTGTAACGTAAATCACTGTGATTTGTTAGTGTGATTTATCATTGTCGTGGGTGAACTCGGCTGTAGACGAGTACTTGGGTAATTTCTCTTGTTTATCTGGTAGGACATCGAAGTCCAGTATTCAGTGAGGTGATTGCGAGGCAATTAATATAACGTAACCAAGGGAACGCCCATTGCTTTAAGAGAATTTGTTCTTTGACAATTTGAGTAACGTAGAATACGTTTGGGTTAATTTACTTTCCTGCAAAGCAGCTACGGTAGTCTCAAGTAGCCTAGCCATCAGCCAGGCAAGAATTAGAGTATTGTCTGTCGTAATTAACGGTTAGTGGGCCGGGTAATTGACGTGTTTCAGGAAGCCAAAGTAATTAACCTCGATCCTTGTTTGATTGACTCACACAAAGGCTACATTGTTCCATTAACGTAACATCGTTATATATCTGTTCGGAAGTATCGGCACTTGGCTGACTCGTGGGAGGAGTAACATCATTTTAGAATAACGTAAACGTGGGGCTAATTACTGTTATTAGCCACCTGAATTGGTCTGAGTATGGAAGGCTCAGACGGAGTTCATACCTTAATGTAAACTGCTGAGCCAGTGTGAAAGGATGCGTATTTAATTGATTATTTATTGATCTTGAGGATAGTAATTAATTACTCTGAAGGTAATCACGAGTGATTACAGTTCTCTTAGCACGTTGGACATTGTAAATCAGAGTTTACCATCGCTGAGTGATTAGTAACCGATTAACGTAAATTAACGTAACTAGTTAAGATATTAATCAGCTGTCTGGTAGTACATGGATTAATGGGATTTTCTCACTGAATGCTCGACGGGTAGAGTGTTGTGTAATTTCCGCGTTACTAGTGACAGTTGTAAGAGCTGTTAATTTAACGTAAATGTTACCTTGTTATTAACGTAAATGTTATTATGTTATTAACGTAAATCAATTGGTATTGATTGTTGATCGTCCGTGGGACGGAGTGTTAACGTAAAAATTAATTTGAGGAAGGGTTGTTGGAGTTGCCAGTGAACCCATTAGTCATTGATGTGTCATTGAAAGGCTACTGATTTGATAACATTGCAACTGCTATTGCAGGTGTAGACTTCACTGAGACGTAGAACAGTTAAGGGTTACTGGAGACGTGTTTCAGAACCTACTGTGTCAATTGTTGTAATTGTGATTATAGATCTGTTAGTTCTTGTTTCTTGTTGATTCCTCTGTGTGCGCGCTTATGTTCGAGTTAGTTCATTATGCAGTCCGAGGGGCTGGTGTCTAGCTGTCATTGATAGTGTCACAGGAAGGATTTCGAGTAACGTCATTGATATTTCTTTTATTTTTTGTTGTAGTAGTTAGCACTTCTTTAATAAACTAAGTTGTTATGTTGAACACTGTCTTTTCGTTACACCCCCACACATTATAATTGTTATGCAAGTGTATTGTCACACTCGACTATAAAAACTGAGACTGATTCAGAGTTGTGGACCAAATATACGGCACCACACAACAATAAATTATTGTTGTGAGAGCCCAGGACCTACTCGTTAGATTCGCTTCGGATAATGGAGAAGGTCGTCGGCCCAAGTGGAGGGGATTTCAATTATATTGGGGTCTAGGAGTTTGCTCGCGCCTAGTCAATTGTTTATATATGGTCCCAGAGTGAGGAATGAGCTGCTTCCTACACTGGTGTGTTAGCTAAGCAAGTCCTTCCTCAGGCGACCTAATTGAATATCACGGCAGGAATAAGGCTTCAAGAATAAAGAAAATTCTTAGAAAATTCATTTATTTCACTAAATCACTAAACTCTCACATCTCTACACCCAGCTACATACTCTCGTCTCTCAACACCCAGCTACACACTCTCGTCTCCTCAACACCCAGTTACACTCTCCCGTCACCTCAACACCCAGTTACACTCTCGTCTCCTCAACACCCAGCTACACACTCTCGTCTCCTCAACACCCAGTTACACTCTCCCGTCACCTCAACACCCAGCTACAGACTCTCGTCTCCTCAACACCCAGTTACACTCTCCCGTCACCTCAACACCCAGCTACACTCTCGTCTCTTCAACACCCAGCTACACTCTCGTCTCTTCAACACCCAGCTACACTCTCGTCTTCTCAACACCCAGCTACACTCTCGTCTCCTCAACACCCAGCTACACTCTGGTCTCCTCAACACCCAGCTACACTCTGATCTCCTCTACACCCACCTACACTCTCTCGTCTTCTCAATACCCAGCTACACTTTTGTTTCCTCAACACCCAGCTACTCTCTCTCGTCTCCTCAACATCCAGCTACACTCTGATCTCCTCTACACCCAGCTACACTCTCGTCTCCTCAACACCCAGATACACTCCCGTCTCCTCAACACCCAGCTACACTCTCGTCTCCTCAAACACCTAGCTACACTCTGATCTCCTCAACACCCAGCTACACTCTGATCTCCTCAACACCCAGCTACACTCTCGTCTCCTCAACACCCAGCTACACTCACGTCTTCTCAACACCCAGCTACACTCTCGTCTCCTCAACACCCAGCTACACTCTCGTCTCCTCAACACCCAGCTACACTCTCGTCTCCTCAACACCCAGCTACACTCTCGTCTCCTCAACACCCAGCTACACTCTCGTTTCCTCAACACCCAGCTACACTCTCTCGTCTCCTCAACACCCAGCTACACTCTCGTCTCCTCAACACCCAGCTACACTCTCGTCTCATCAACACCCAGCTACACTCTCGTCTCCTCAACACCCAGCTACACTCTCTCGTCTCCTCAATACCCTACTACACTCTATCGTCTCGTCAACACCCAGCTGCACTCTCTCGTTTCCTCAACACCCAGCTGCACTCTCTCGTCTCCTCAACACCCAGCTACACTCTCGTCTCCTCAACACCCAGCTACACTCTCGTCTCCTCAACACCCAGCTACACTCTCGTCTCCTCAACACCCAGCTACACTCTCGTCTCCTCAACACCCAGCTACACTCTCGTCTCCTCAACACCCAGCTACACTCTCGTCTCCTCAACACTCAGCTACACTGTTGTTCCAGGTGTTGTCTTAAGACTGTCCCACACAGTCCTTATCATTCCTCTTACTATCTACTCTCTCTCTCTCCACGACTGTTTGTGTCATAGCATTGTCTCAGGTGTTGTGTGTCTACACCTCATCTGACACTGTTCAGCGTCACAAATGTCAAGAGTCTATACTACTGGACTTTTATTACACTTTTAATGCTTCCAAAATCAAAGCATGTACATTGTATTTAAATTGAATTAGATTAATTAAATAGAAAGTCTGGTAACCGCTGGAGAGGAAATCCTTTGATTAAAATGATTCTCACTACTGCGAAGAACACGGCCACCAGTGTATGGGCTTGGAGCATTGTCATTGGTCACACTAATGAAGTTCCGAATATTTTTGCAATTTATTTCCAAAATTTGAAACAAAAATGATGGAAAAGGCCTTATTTATACTGATATTGGCAATTGCCAAGGTCCAAATGATGGATCTTTTTCATCGCGATTTGGTTGCTCTAGGTGCTGCGTGTTCTTCTGAGGGGTTTTGTAATGGGAGTGATTACCATAGCAAAGATTACTATAACGGAGCTTACCAGAGTGAAGAGAATTGTAATTGTGATGACTTGTGCGCGGAGTATGGCGATTGTTGTCCAGACTCCATCTACTACAGATGGGAAGATCAGGTCCTGCCAGTGAGGTACAAGTGTGTGAGCGTGGTTGGTGGCAGTGTTTACATAAAGAGCGTGTGCATGTCAGGGTGGGAGGACGAGGAGGTGGCCCAGCTGTGTCTGGCGGGCTCCCCGCCAGACATCTCCAACAGCAGGGACCCGCTGGCCCACCTCCCCGCCACCAGCAACACCACCTCCGTCACCTACATCAACTACTATTGCGCCGTCTGCAACAACGACTCCCACGACCTCACGCTCTGGAAGACCCAACTGGAATGTGTCAACATTGAGGAATATGATTCAGTGCAGGCGAAATACCATATTGCAGTTTTGCTGGATAACAATGTTACAGATCAGCCGGATAACTATATTACAGATCAGCCCGATAACTTACCCGGATACATAACTTCTCATTTATTATTCGATAACGGATCTTGGGGTGCATATATTCCCATTAATGGTAAACAACTATTTAAGAAATGTAATATTAACATTAAAATCCCCGATATTCCTATTAATACAAGGGAATGCTACGCCACCATCAACACGTGTGCTAAGAACTGGTCGGACGCGTCTGTCGCTGCTCTGTGTCACTCTTACACGGCAGTGAGGTGTTCAGGAGTTTCGGCCTACAGGAACCCCCACTGTCTTCTGTGTAACTCTTTAGTTACACAGAAGTATAGTTGCTTTAGACCTTGTGAACCCGTTCAAAAGGCTCCTTTCTCTCTACTAATTGATTTTGGTTACCACAGCGGTGATAATAATGTCGAAATTGTAAACCTTTGCCAGCCCGGCGAAGTTTATGATAACTTCTTCAAGAAGTGCAGAAATGTTTTGTCGAGGAACATAAGGGAGGTAGACGAAGACGACAAGCGTGATGAAGGCGACAATAAGGTGACAACCAACACATCGGATTCCTCAGCTTGTCATCCACACAACACAACGAAAGCCTTTCGTAGCAACGTAGTGTCTAATGAATCAAATGAAACACTTAATTGTGATAAAATACTTCTTTGTGAAGACGAATTCACGTTGAACGAGAACAGAATGGTAACGGTAGAAGCTAACGCTCGAAGTTATCAGGTGGGAGAGTACGAGGTAACTGAAGGTGGCGTCCTCGTGTGCGAGCCACAGGAACTCTCAAACAAGTTTGTGTCGGGTTTGCTGATCCTGATGGGTCTTGTGCTGTCGTGCTTGTGTCTTCTGCTTCACCTGGCTGTCTTCCTCTTGCTGCCTCGTCTTAGGAACCTCCCGGGCAAGTGCTTGGCGTCCCTCTGCCTCTCTCTTCTCACCACCTACACCGTCTTCATCCTCGGCACCCTCCTAGAGCCTAAGACGACAGGATGTTACATCTCGGCAGTCATAAAGTATTACTCCTTCCTCGCCTCCTTCTGCTGGATGAATATCATGGCCTTTGATGTGTGGCTGACATTTCGACAAGCTAAAGATGAGCTGCGAGTGTCATCTGGGAGACAGCGAAGCAAGTTTTTATTCTACTGTGTGTACGGCTGGCTGCTTCCAGCCCTGGCTGTGGTGGTCACAGTAACCCTAGACAAGACCGCCCCTGCAGGTCTGTCCCCTCAGTTCCTGCCCAGCTTTGGTCAAGATATGTGCTGGTTCGGGAAGCGCAAGGCCTTATTGGTGTTCTTTACTGCTCCATTATTCACAATCATGGCTCTCAATGTTGTGTTTTTCCTTATGACTTCATACACCATCGGTGCCAGTAGACAGTCGACGCTGCGGAGGAGTTCGTGTCCACAAAATAGGAAACAGTTTGTGCAGTATGTGCGACTGGCCGTGCTGATGGGCCTCACCTGGATCATTGGCATGGTGGCTGGCTACCTGCAGCTGCAGGGCGTCTGGTATGTCTTCGTGGTCCTCAACACCCTGCAGGGAGCCTTCATCTTCCTGACCTTCACCTGCAGGAGCAAGGTGTGGAGGGATGTGCAGGAGCGCTGCCGGCATTGTCTTCAGCAAGTTAATTCTCATCCTGGTTCACCTACACCATCGCCAGGGTCACGGCAGGAGGCATCCTGCGTCGACAGATGTCCCGCCTCGGGGCACGTGGAGTCAGACAACCTTTAGCACCTCCTGGGGTTATGCGGCTCATCAATGGTCACCCATCAGCGCTCCACACACATATATAAACGGTTGGTTACTTTACCTTTTAGAATATTTAAATCAAATAAAAAAATTTATTCATAAATGGTTGTACATTTATAAAACTCACAATTATAGTACATTATATACGTAAAACTGTGAAAATAAGAGTATAGCATGTAATCATTATAATTATATACTTTTAAATCTAGATCTTGATTTGGATTTCGAAGCTGTACTCTTCAGTGATTTACACAGATCATTTCAGCTGTGGCTGAAGTGATCAGGTGTTACAGTCACAGAAACAATTTACAGCTTCAATTGGAGCCTTGAAGCTTATAGTGGCAAAACAGCAAAAATTTCGGATGATAAAACAATTGGATGAATAATATAAACTATTTGTGCCATGAAGATATATAAATGTTCTTAGCTGAGCACCTTACATCTAGAGATATATATATGAACTACTACCCAGAATTGCTGTCACTCTAAACACACAGCTCATCTACCATGGATCTGGTTTCAATAGGATTTAAAATGCTTGTCAATAACATAGCTCATTGTGACTGTAATTCCTTAATAATTCGAAATATCAAGCTGGAGTATAGGTAGCTTATCAGCTAATTTTCATTATTTCCTGTACATCTGTTACACCATTATATACATCAGTCATCCTTGTGGGATATCTGGGGCTTGACTCAATTATTTAATTATTTAATTAATCAAATTAATAACGAAGGACCACCCACTTTTGAGAAAAGAGGGAAACTAATAAAAAGTGATCATTAGAAACACAAGGAAGAACCAGTGTCTATGGATAAATATCAGAAAGAATAATCACTTAAATAAATAATGGACTGTATGGTTAATTAACTAAAGTCAGAGCCTCAAACACCTACATTGGGGGGGTATTGTTAGAACTTCATATACGTCTAGGAACTAGTGTGGTTCGTGCACCAGTTCATTGTTGAATAAAGAATATTGTGACCAAAATATTATAGAATCAATAGGTAAATACAAATTGAGAATATTAATGGTTATTAGAATTAGAGAGCAATCATCTAAATAAACACATTTTATCTCCAGTTCTCATGACAAGCATTCAATCTGATATCATGAACAAGTAGAAATAATTGGAGTAATTAAATGTGTACAAAAAGTCTTAGCTTTAAGACGATTTCTATGATATCGTTCACGCCTCGTCCTCGTGATCTCAGGATCACCACGTAGAAGCCTTTAGAGGTGAATAACACGAATGTAGTTAACGACTCGTTGACTCCTCACATACGAGCTGTAATTTAAGGGATATTACGTAGAATTGAACTAGGCTACTTAAATCTCAATATTCATGAAATAGAAAATAAAGATTAGTGCGGTACTAACGTTGGATTTTTAGTAGTCATTCGATGTAACGACAGACTGCCCACGAAATATACAATCTCTAATGATGCATCAAGAAAGAAATATATACTTATCGAAGGGTGCAGTATATGCTGAAGTCTGCCGGTATCACGTCTCAGTCTCAAACTTCCACAATGTTGTACACATGGTTGAGAGTTTGGCTTGAATATCGACGCGTTATTATTTGACCGAGCACTGCAGATCACGTAGAAGAATAATTATTCGTTCTAGGTTGAGTACCAGTGTAATTCTTGCTGATAATCCCAACGTCACGTGTCTCAGACTCTGACGCCATGACTTTTTGTTGCTCACTCCGCAACACGAGCTCGCCACCCGCACACACAATGGCGTCTCTCCTCCCTCAACCCGCGTCCCCGCATTCACCACCGAAATTATTTATCACGAATAATACTATTTCGCGCATTAGTGGTTGAAATACTTTAATAAAGACTGGGTTGTGATTCTAGGGATTTAAATATTATTGCTTTCTCGTCTTATGGTGGTAAACGAGAAATGGAGAAGATTTTAGTTTTCTCCGTGGCATTCACGCGTGACAGAAAAACTATTACTTGATAACAATTGTAACTAAAAGCTCTCGGTTTAGAATTATTTGGGAGTTATGTTATCCATAAATAATTATCACACGGAATACTGATGATTTTAGAGAATCACATGCAATTCTCTAACACACTGGCTATAAATGTCTTTAAGTAGATATAATCTGACGCAATACTGGTGCTTGGTTTCGCAAGAATTCCAGCATCCATATGTAGATATAATGGTTAGTTTATGTGAACATTACTGTTAGTAAGTTTTAGTGACTACTGTAGTTAGTATATAATAATACTGATTCATTATAATACAATAGTATTGTATTAGTGTTGGAAATTTCCAACAATCCTTAACCTATATTGTCCAAGGTCAGCACTTATTAGGTGCCACAGACATTGACCAATAATTAACTTAATATTCCACCAGGTTTAAAGATTACTCAATTTACTCATAATGATAATAATTCTGACTTTCAGGTTTCTGGTTGCATTAGAAAGACTGACAAGTGAGCCCTTTGAAGATAAAATATTTCCCAGATATACAGACAGTAATCACATTGTCGTGATGCATCAGTGAGAAAATCCACAGAAGGCGTGATGAGGGTTCGAACCTGGGTGTTCCCAGGCACACGTTCTAGACAACTGCGCCACAACATGGTCAAAAGGATAGGAATCTGGGGTACTACTGAATTCACGAGGGTTCCTGAGGCTTCCACTGAAGCCGGACCAGAGCTTCGCACAAAAATACCATCACTCTGACTCTGTCGTCTGGGATTGTTCTACTGCTGACGTTCCTCTTTCATCTACAGTCACACACATCCCTGGTGACTGTAGATGGACTGTATAGCCACATCCCAGGTGACTGTAGATGGACTGTGTAGCCACATCCCTGGTGACTGTAGATGGACTGTGTACAGCCACATTCCTGGTGACTGTAGATGGACTGTGTAGCCAAATCCCTGGTGACTGTAGATGGACTGTGTGGCCACATCCCTGGTGACTGTAGTTGGACTGTGTAGCCACATCCCTGGTGACTGTAGATGGACTGTGTGGCCACATCCCTGATGACTGTAGATGGACTGTGTGACCACATCCCTGGTGACTGTAGATGAACTGTGTACAGCCACATTCCTGGTGACTGTAGATGGACTGTGTAGCCAAATCCCTGGTGACTGTAGATGGACTGTGTGGCCACATCCCTGGTGACTGTAGTTGGACTGTGTGGCCACATCCCTGGTGACTGTAGATGGACTGTGTGGCCACATCCCTGATGACTGTAGATGGACTGTGTGGCCACATCCCTGATGACTGTAGATGGACTGTGTAGCCACATCCCTGGTGACTGTAGATGGACTGTGTACAGCCACATTCCTGGTGACTGTAGATGGACTGTGTAGCCACATCCCTGGTGACTGTAGATGGACTGTGTAGCCACATCCCTGGTGACTGTAGATGGACTGTGTGGCCACATCCCTGATGACTGTAGATGGACTGTGTGGCCACATCCCTGATGACTGTAGATGGACTGTGTAGCCACATCCCTGGTGACTGTAGATGAACTGTGTAGCCACATCCCTGGTGACTGTAGATGGACTGTGTGGCCACATCCCTGGTGACTGTAGATGAACTGTGTGACCACATCCCTGGTGACTGTAGATGGACTGTGTGGCCACATCCCTGGTGACTGTAGATGGACTGTGTGACCACATCCCTGGTGACTGTAGATGGACTGTGTGGCCACATCCCTGGTGACTGTAGATGGACTGTGTGGCCACATCCCTGGTGACTGTAGATGGACTGTGTGGCCACATCCCTGGTGACTGTAGATGGCCTGTGTAGCCACATCCCTGGTGACTGTAGATGGACTGTGTGGCCACATCCCTGGTGACTGTAGATGGACTGTGTGGCCACATCCCTGGTGACTGTAGATGGACTGTGTGGCCACATCCCTGGTGACTGTAGTTGGACTGTGTGGCCACATCCCTGGTGACTGCCTAACAGAGCAGGTCACACCATAGTTATATTGTTACACATTAATGCGTTCTTTACCGTAAAATAAGAAATCTGTTTCAAGACTGAACAAATATAATATACTAGCTTTACCCGCCACGCGTTGCTGTGGCTCAGTCTGGTTAAATGGAAAAGAAAGAAAAGAGAAAGCGCACGTTTCTAATATGTTTAATTTCACAATGTTTGTGGGTATACAATATGTTTTGTTGTTCCATTGTCTGTGGAGATTTAGAGATTGTCTGGTTTGCCGACTCTAGAGCACGCAACATTGGCCCTGAACTTTGTTGATGGTGACTGCAAATGCCACTCGAATTGGAAATTATAATATTTTTAACTGAAATGGCATATCTGTTGGAATCATAGAAATGCGAGGAATGAGGACATCTTCACCTTTGAAAGGTCCTGTCAAGATCGTTGCTTCTACGACATTGCTGAATAATTTTCTACTGCAAGGCACATGGCGTTGCAAAGCTTTAGCTGATTGATATTTCGCAACATGATAATTGGCACGCAGATTTTCAATTGCCGTACGTGTGATGCTATCCCTGCTAGATCGAGTAAATTAAAAAATTATGTTGGATAACTAACCGTTTCATCTGCTTTCTCAACAGTGTCGACGGACTTGTATCGAGGAATTACAGGTAATGTTTGCCTGAAATCTCCTGCAAGCAATATTAATGCATTCCCAAATGGTCTGATGTTTCCACGCAAATCTTGCAATGATCGATCAAGAGCCTCGAGCGATTTTTGTGGGCAATTGTGCATTCATCCCAAGTGATAAGTTTACATATCTGTAATATTTTTCCCATGCCGGATGCTTTGGAAATGTTGCACGGGGGAGTTTCAATGAATTACATGTTTAATGGCAATTTCAAAGCCGTAGTAGTAGGTTTTCCACCTCGTTACAATGTCGCAGCTATTCCGGGCAATGCTAAAGCTAAGGTTATTCCATTTTGGGATCGAAATGCTGCCAGAATCAATCTAATTAGGAAGGATTTACGGTTACTCCTGGCGCATCTAAGAAGATTTCTCCAAACCCGTTATTGACAGTTTGAATTATTTGATTGTAAATGCCTTTTCGCTCAAGCGTTAGCTTAGGAATATTTGATTGCACATACGACAACAGATCACTCCTGTTGTAATTTTGTTCACGACGCAATTCTACATCGAAAGAAGCAGCAGCAGATCGATTTGGTGATGGCATTTCCAATTGATTTAGAACTTTGTTCGCGAATTCTAAGCACAATCTTCAATTATTATCAAGACGTTGGACTTGGCACATTTACCAACAACATGCGTTTTTACGTGTCACAGGTGTGGCATCTAAATAGTAGGTATATAAAAACACGCACGTATTCGAATGGAACGTTGTGTCAAAATTTCAGAGCAATCTATGAAGAACTTTCGGTGATTACAGTGTGTGTTGCTCTTACGTCCTGCAGATGGCGCTGTTTTTCCAAAAAAGCATGTTTTTTCCTGTCACAGGTGAGGCATGTATATAGTAGGTATGTAAAAACACTCGTCTATTCGAATGCAATGTTGTGTCAAAATTTAAAAGCAATCAGTAAACAGGTTTCGAAGAATTCCCTCATATGAAAAACACCTGAAAAACACAGCTTTAAAAAAAAAAACATGTTTTTTCCCGTCACAGATGTGACACCTATATAGTATGTATATAAAAACCCGCTCGAATGAGAAGGGAACGTTGTGTGAAAATTTCAAGGCAATCGGTGAAGAACTTTCGGAGATTAGCGATTTTGAACAAACGAACATTTCCATTTTATTTATATAGATTTTAAATATTATTTATAATTATGTAAATATAGCACAAGTATATTTCAAGTATAATCCACATACTGTTTGTACTTTTAAGTGTATTGCATTTTGCAAGTGTATATATTATGAGTGTAAACTTAAAGAAGATTATATAAGTTTTGTAATTTTGAGGTTTTATTAACCTTCCATTAGTCAATTTTCCACTATTTGCATAACTATTTCATTCCTATTAATGCAATATTCCTATTAATTTTTAAGACGAATTTAGGGGCAGTTTATTGCGGGTAGTGTTAGGTGAGTGATTCTGTTGCCAGGGTGGCTTCAGTAAGCTGTTGTGAGTGTATAGATGAGGTCGTATGAATGCTTCTGTTGCCAGGATTGAATCAGCAAGCTGTTGTGAGTGTATAGATGAGATCTGATGAATGCTTCTGTTGCCAGGGTTGACTCAAAAAACTGTTGTGAGTGAATAAATCAGGTTTAACCCTCAATATGCATTTTTTTCACACTTCACAATCTTTCGTTGTTTATTTAACACATATATACTGACCAATTACTGTTTAAGAGTTTATACACCAGGTAAGATGAATAACTTTTGTGGCAAACTTAATGCTCCAACGGCCATTCAAGTCCCTGAACACACTTTTAGGCATTATGTTGAGTATAACGCACTCAAGACTATAAAAGACTCATATAATTGACACTAACACCCAACAGGAAACTCGATTTATCGTGACGTTTAAAACATATCTAATCTTACACTTCCTCTCCTGAACCACCCAGATACACTGTTGTTCCAGGTGTTGTCTTAAGACTGTCCTGTGTTGTGTGTCTACACCTCATCTGTCACTGTTCAGCATCACTAATGTCAAGAGTCTATACTACTGGACTTGAAATACACTAATAATGCTTCCAAAATCATAACATGTACATTGGAATTAAATTGAATGAGATTAATAAAATGTAAAGTTTAGTAACTGCTGGAGAGGAAATCCTTAGATTAAACATATTCTCACTAAGGCGAAGAACACGGCCATCAGTGTAAAGACTTCAAGCACTGTCATTGGTCACACAAACGAAGTTCTGAATATTTCTGCAATTTGTTTCCAAAATTTGGAACAAAAATGATGGGAAAGGCCTTATTTATACTGATATTGGGCCAAATGACGAATCTCTTTCATCGCGATTTGGTTGCTCTAGGTGTTGCGTGTTCTTCTTAGGGGTTTTGTAATGGGAGTGATTACCATAGCAAAGATTACTATGACGGAATTTACCAGAGTGAAGAAATTTGTTATTGTGATGACCTGTGCGCAGAGTATGGCGATTGTTGTCCAGACTCCGTCCACTACAGACGGGAAGATCAGGTCCTGCCAGAGAAGTACAAGTGTGTAAACGAGGATAATGGCAAGTTTTACATGAAGACCGTGTGCATGTCAGGTTGGGAGGACGAGAAGGTGGCCCAGCTGTGTTTGGCGGGCTTCCCGGCAGACATCTCCAGCAGCAGGGACCCACTGGCCCACCTCCCCGCCACCAGCAACACCACCTCCGTCACCTACACCAACTACTACTGCGCTGTCTGCAACAACGACTCCCACGACCTCACGCTCTGGAAGAAACAACTGGATTGTGTTTATAGTATAGTGTATTGTGACGGTAACGCGTTGGTGTTCGGCTGTTTCAAAAGCTAGGGGTATGGCCTCGTCACATAAAGAAACAAAAAGAGAAAATCTGGAACTTTCGTCTGTGGTACGGTAATGGGAAGACACACAAAACACAAGTAAATTTAACAATGAGATTTTAATTACGTTAGAAAAGCAAAACATGAATAAAATGGACATCAAAATTGTAACATAAAATCAATCAATCAATATAATAAGAATAATCAATGGCAAAATGAAAAGTTACGTTAAGACAAGTGAGTAATAACAAGTGAATAATATACAATGCAATATATGGGTGCAGGAATATTGGCTTTAAGCTGCCACCTCTCTTAGTACACGTAAGCCAGAGCTTAGTCTACCAACGAGACGTGTTAACTTGTGGAAAGCACGGGATATTCTGAGGTCTGTAGGTCGTGGTGGCTCAGACGTCAACTAGTGTGGTGGGTGGAGGGAGCAGGTGCGACAGGGCACCAGCCAATCAGAGATGAGCAGGCGACGGACAGGTAGTTTGGTGGTTGGAGTGGTGGAGGTGGAGCAGGTGTTCCTGGTGCTGAATACGTTTGCTCTCTGGCAAACCTTGGTGTTGTATTTGTTGGATAGGGACGAACTTAGGAGGGAAGAGCAGGCTCAATCTCTCTTGAAGGAGATTATTGTCACAACTCTCCCCCGAAGCCTGCGGTTCTGGAAGAAGTACGTCGTTATGTGGTGGAGTAATAGGTGAGTCGCTTCTACTTCATAAACTCTGGAGAGTGCATCGGCTATAATGTTGTCAGAACCTTGGTATAGCGGGTCTCCAGGTTGAATTTCTGCAGTTATCAAGCCCATAGTAGAAGACGTTGAGTTGAGAAGTGGGCGTGCTGCAGGAGGTGTAGGGTGGTGTGGTCCGTGTTGATGGTAGACCGAGCACTTTTCAGGTGTGGAGTAAAGTGCTGGAGCTTCAGGATGATGAAGAGTAGCTCCTTGCCAATTGTTCTGTAGTTCCTTGTAGCAGTAGTTGCTGACAGGTGTATTCTCCTCGCCTCGTTGCTGCATCATGACACCACCAACGCCGGTACCACTGGCGTCGACATGGAGGAT